TGTCAATGTGGTGACTATTTCACCGCTGGCTCCCTGAGGGTTGTAGTGTCCCAAATTTACAGGAATAAGCTTAAGGAGGCTGATGAAACAGTTATATTCCACTGAACATATATCACTACTTCACTCAATCCATGAGTCATTGAATGTATCAAGCGCCTATGCTCTCAAAGGGACCTCGACGAAGAGCTAAGTGCACTTAAATTACCTCCGAGTTTTATAGCCTATCAACACTCTTTGAAAACGAATGCGGTCGACGACGGACATCTCCTAATTTCTTCCCAACAAAGCAATCTACAACGAGGCTGCCACCAGCGGTGAACTTTTCAGTGAGTGATTCGCGAACTTTAGTCTAGAAATGCACAGCCCTGTTGAAACCGCACCCCTTACTGGCTGCTCCCTCAGGAGCACACTGTTCACCAACCAGTTAACAGGACAAACAGTTAAAAGCCTTAGATCTCCTACTGGCACGGGACCGGATGGCCTGGCTTCAATAATTTTCCGAAACAATGGATGTGAAATTCCCATATTACTTTTTAAATTCTTCTCAATATCTCTGGACACTGGCACTTATCCTGATGAGTGGAAAACTAACTTCATAATTCCACACTACAAATCTGGTGATAAGGCACACGTTCGCAATTACAGACCCATAAATATAGCCCCAGTTATCTCGCGAATCATGGAGAAAGTTCTCAAAGACCAATTATCAGACTATCCACTTAAGGAAGATCTTATTACAAGGTCTGAACACGGATTTCTCAAAAATAGGTCCTGCGTTACTTGCCACTTCGACTTTTTCAACTGCATCACTAGTAGTCGTGAAGCACGTAAGCTAGTCACTGTTCTCTACTTCGATAAATCTAGGGCATTTCACATGGTATCTCACAGTATTCTCTTTGAGAAGCTGTACTCATGTGGAATTCGCCATCCATTACTGAACTGGTCAAAATTGTTTCTAAGCAACAGGGTACAAATAACCTAAGTTGGATCTGTATTGTCTCATCCTGAGGAGATCACAAGTGGGGTTGTGCAGGGTATTGTCCTAGGACCACTTTTATTTACAGTCTACATTAACAGCATTTGTAACTGCTTCACCTCAGGTGAACCATTCCTATATGCTGACGACCTCAAAGTCATTTACTCCTGCTACACTAGTGAATTAAGCGATATGGTAAATAAAATACATCCTGAACCAAACGGTCTCACAACATGGTGTGCTGAATCCTGTCTAAGGTTTAACATCGACAAATGCGGCTGGATTTGTATTGGTGACAGTACCCTTGACCTAACTCTTGAAATAAATGGGCGATAACTAGCCAAGCTCAACTCAGTCATAGATCTCGGTAACAGATACTCTAGTAACTTAACGTTCTCTGGACAATCTGATTATGCTAGACGTAGAACACGAAGGCTCCTAGGATGCATAACTCGCAATTTCTTTTGTTGTAAAACTAGGGTTTTCTTGTACAAAGTATGTGTCCGACCTATTTTAGAATACTGTACGTTTATTCTTAGCGGACTGCGACAGAATTTCAAGCTTAAATTGGAGGGAGTGCAACGGCAATTTACCTCAAGAACTCTTGGTTTAGAATGTAGTCTCAAATACTCTGAGCGCTGCGACAGACCGAGAATAGAACCACTCTGGAGAAGACGTCTCAAGCTAAACCTTATTTTCTACTACAAGCTAACTAGTCTTCTCTTGCATCACTCCAGGCCAATAACTAAATCTACCATTGTCATCAGTTACAATCTTAGAAATCATGACAACCTAGTTGCTATGGAGCATAAGTTTTCAGTAATTTGAAATTTGACTACCAGCTAATGTGCGTGACGCAAACGCACTTCCAATGTTAATCTCCTCAGTAATCAGACTGCTCAGAGATGACAATGCGCTCCTGCATTGGACTCTCACACCTTTTTCACCCTACATAGATATTATAAGTTCATTAAACGTATAAGTTACAACAAACTACAATTATAAATGTTGATATTATTGTAAGGACATCACAAACATTTCCACACAGAAGATAATTATTATTTCACACATAATAGAAAAGATAGCATAACAAGACTAGTTGGTCAGTGTACCAAAATAATGTAAATTATTACATCAAAACACCTATGATCCACTTATCGAGACTTTTGATTACTTTGACTACAAAGGCCTCAACTTAATTCCATATTTCCCATTTACACCAAAGTGAATCATCATAATGCTTCTTAAGACATGAACACACTGACCCATACCAGGTGAGAAAATACATCGCGACAGCCTTTGTCCTCACTCGATACTAGCTTATCATGAGTTTAACTCAAGCGGTATCGCGAGCTGTTAATTGAAATACATAGTAAAAGTAGGTGATTCAGTCACAACGGTTTACATAACTGGGATACGAAATTCATGGTAGGAACAAATTACACTATAGTCACTGAAATACACTGCCGAAGCAAAACGTCTGTGAAAATGCGTACAGACTATTAGTCAACCTAAGTTGATTCTAATGCAGTCACTCATAGAACAACGGATGTCAACTGCATTCTATCACTAAGTTAATAATATGCCAGTCACTGGAAAACATTCAACATTGGAGTACACATTTGGAATTATCGCCACACGTCTTCTGTAATCGGTGCATCCGCCGCTTCCACAACATTTACACAAAATATCAGCCCCTGCGATTGTTCGTTGTAGTCTACTACCAGCAGTGAACGAATCACTTTACTATCCTCTGAGTGAGACAGGCTTTCCTGAATATTGTTCACCCACAGCAACTTCAAGTAAATTCCTTCCCATCTTACTAATGTTCATTCTCCTGCAAGGACACCAGTGATCTCTGCTTATCCTAATTCGGCCACACATTTCACATTGCCGAAGACTTCCCGTGCCCACTTCGAAATGCTACAGTTACTTCAAGTGACTATCCTCCAGAAAATCAAAGGCCAAGAAATCTTCATCTGACGTCTTCTGAAGTGTTTCTGGAATGGAACAGCTTATTCGGCGAATAGCGCATAGTAACGGTCAAATATGGGCACCTAACAGTGCGATACGGAAGAAATATGTATGCAACCCGTTTGGTGTTGCTCATTCGTTCACTCCGCTTGCTCGCCAGTAGTTTTGTGTGTTTGTAGGCCTCTAGTGGTAAATGTCCCTTAATTTGGTGTCGACATCCGACATGTAGTTCTTGGCTCTCTTCTCAAACTGACAAGTTTTAGACAGACGAAGATTGGGTGAAACAGCTTCTGATGTATACAAGAGAGCAACACCGAAGTTTGTTAAGCAACTGACATCAGTAAATGTGCTGGGCAGACCACCTAAAAACAATGCTGTATCACTGTGTGTTCATGTCAGACAAAACCATGTTATGATGGAATTCACCAAAGTGAAGTCCACATAATGATACGACTTCTAACCTAAACGAAGATGTAGATTGCGATTGAATGAAAATGTCTATAAGAAGTAAATGGTATGGCTGTCTTAACCTCGGGGTTTCAAACTTTTTGATTGTCAATCGCATCCGATCAAATTGGCACATCTCGGCATCAGGGGTTCCCCAGGGTTCTATCTTAGGGTCGTTGGTGTTTTTGATTTTTATCAACGACCTGCCCTGTCAACTGAATTGCTCTGCGCTTCTTTACGCTGACGACGTAAAAATTTGGAGAGCAATAAACTCATCGGAAGACTCCGACAGATTGCAGGCTGACCTGCAAACGCTGGAAGACTGGGCTCTGGCTAACGGAATGCCTTTCAACTTAAAGAAGTGCAAAGTAGTGCAACTTCATTCCGGCAGGTCACAGAGTGCAAATTACACCCTTGGTGGCCAGAACTTGAGTTGTGTGCCATCAGAACGCGACCTAGGCCTTATTTTAACAGAAAAGCTAGACACCAGTGTAAATTACACGAGGGACGTCGCAAAGCTTACGCCACTTTACACTTTATGCACAGGCAGCTAGGAGCTCTTACTCCTGAACTATTCTTATCGTTGTATACGACATACGTGAGGCCACTCCTTGAGGTGCATAATATCGTTGCTCCTCCGCTACTCAAAAGGGATGCTAACATGCTAGAAAGTGTCCAGAGACGAGCAACAAAATGGGTGATCGGCCTCCGCAACAAATCATATGAGGAAAGACTGAAGAAATTAAGTCTTTTCACACTTAGTTACCGTAGTCACAGGGGAGACCTCATCACCGTCTATAAGATCTTAAATGACCAGGTCCACCCTAATAAGAGCATCCTGCCATTAAGTGATTATAGGCTTCCACGAGGTAACCCGCTAAGGATAGCACACCAGAGACCAAAGACTCGAGTGCGTTCACATTTCTTCTCACTTCGAATTTGCCGTCTCTGGAACGCTTTACCGGCGGCCGTAACTACGGCTCCATCTGTGGAGACTTTTAAGCGGAAGCTGGACAATCATGCAGAAATGCATGGTTTGTGTCTCAATGGCTTACCCTCTTAAAATTTGAAACCACATTGTCAGTGGATAAGCATACAAGCTAAATCCCCATGACCCGTCCTGTCTTCTCCCACTGTACCGACTACTCTATCTTTTCTTTCTTTCTTTCTTATTTCACTTTTATTATTTCACTTAACTCAACCTATATTATCTACATTACAACCTATTATTATCATTATTATTCTACTTTTATGACTATACCGAATGACCAACTGGTGTTAGCTCAAACTCCATTCACGGCAGCAGCTGAGTCCTAACATACTGCACACTACAAACCACAATCTTGACAAATCCTCGCACCACTCCTCTTGGAGTCAACCAGAGCTAAAGCAGTCGAGTGGCGGGATTTACTAGGCATAAGTTCACCGAAGATCTGCAACCTCTACCTTACAATCAAGAAGCGAGCTCAAAGAAATCACTGGTTTATACTAGCTCGTAATCAGGATATTGGATATTGGATAATCAGCTGCTCTTTCTCAAGGTCGCGAATTTCTTTAAAAGGATGTAACTAGTATTCGATTCAGTTAATTATTACCAAACAAAATGGGAGGATCATCTTCATATCTGGGAGAAGTAAGCAGATTTCTTGATGGACAAGACTTCACAGGTCGTCAAGACCCATATGCAAATGTAAGTGTATTTAAATAGGGTCATTCCAATTAATAAATCACACAGTGTAGTGCAGTTATATTAACTGATGACGTTTCGAGCACAAACTATTGCTCATAATCAACTTGATATGATTATGAGCAATAGTTTATGCTCGAAACGTCATCAGTTAATATAACTGCACTACACTGTGTGACTTTTCAAAATAAAATATTATCCATTATGGAATTACACTCTACCACAGTGCCCAAGTTTTATACTTATATCAATAGAGACACACCAGTTATGTCAATCTAGAATATGTTACATTGATATATATATATATATATATGCATATTAATTCTCCTAACACTTCAATTCATGCAGCAACAGAAACAGCTTCAGCATCCATTGCAACAACTTTCATTTCACACATATAACAATACAGAAATTATACTGAATGTATAAGGTTCTAGGTACCTGGAAATACAGTGACCAACACTTGGGAATGTGACAACCATCATGCACTACAAATGTAGCGCTGGAAGAACCGGAAAACATCAGCATCGATTGTGGATATCGTCTATCTGGTATCATTTTGCAATGACCCAATCGCAACGATCATTTGAATCCATCACTGGACAGATAACGTCGATTATGATGTGCAGATCAACTTATGGTCTTCTCACATCATAAGTATAGGGATAGAAGTAGCAGGCAATTGAGTTTCGGTCCAAATTAGTGGTAAATGGTCATACTGCTTGTACTAAACGTTTGGATTGTCTCTATACTTTTTGACCATTAACCATTTCACTTTCAGGTTATGCGAATAATGAGCCGACACACTAGTATCTGTGAGTACACGACCATTGCAATGATCTGCGACTTCTTCCTCCTCTTCTTCTTCTTCTTCTTCTTCTTAGTCACAACCATTGATTGCTGTGCATTTTGAGTGAAGATCTCCAAAAACAAAACATATTTTGTTTCTAGTCGGCTTGCATCACGAAGACGGTGAGATCATCAATCCAATGCCCATATGGCTTACTGGAAATCGCCAATTTCATGATATTTCACACTCTGACTCACTTTCAGCGTTCTTTTGAGATTGTAGACCAGTGTGACCGATTCCACTGCGGCATCGTTGACCGTTTTCTGTGGGGTTTACTCATTCAGAAGTGAATCTTAGGATGTGATCACAAACTCAGTGATGATAGAACGCCACATACTGATGTCTGTAATGTGGTTTCATACTTCTGGGAACCCAAATGATAATGAGCAAGTTCAGGTAGTCCAAGTAATCGTAAATGATGGGAACGTTTGCATCTTAAAGTATAAGTAATTTGTTACGAGGTGAAGATGCAGTTGGTTGTCTTTATCAATCGACTTACAGCCAACTGCTGCCGGGTCCGAATTCCGCCCCACCTACTTTGCTCAACTTGGTCGTGTGATATCACAATTCCTAACACAATAAGTGTCGGCTATAGACTGACGTCACATAGGTGAGTTCCAATTACTAACCAATAACCTGTTTGGAGACTGTGAATTGGTGACAAAAGCTGAACTCTCGATTATTCAAACGAATGCGGAGTAAACGTTCCTTGTGGAGTGTTTTGTGATGCAGTGATTTTAGGAAAGAGGGTGCACTTGTGTCAAAGTGTTTCCAACCTGTATGAATTTCAGATTAACGGCATTTGTCACAGGCTATTATCCGGTGGGTCTTGAAATCATTCGTCATGGAAATGACTTATTTTGCACTCTGACTGCAAACTAGGATATCCGTCTTTCTGGCGCATACTTTCTCTCAGTCACGTACTTGCGCAATATCAGGAGGATATAGTGTGCACCTGAACTTACAATTTAGTCATCAAACATGACATGAGGTTCCTGGTTTTCATTGGATTCAATCGGCTGATCTGCATAAGTTTCCACAGTATCGAAATAATTGTATACATTTTTCTAAATATCTGTTTACAGCAGAACTTCCGCAACGAAACATCAAGAGATATGACGGGGTATCCGATGTACGGTCAGGATTATGGCAGTCAGCCACAGCCGATGTACAACATGGATATGAATCGCAGAAATAATATGGATGTAAGTCCTGTAAGCTATAACAGTTTCTCACTATTATTTGAAGTGAGGAGTCGAAGTTTCCCAGTTCTTCTTAAATTCACTCACCTTAGGCACACATTTCGCCTTGCATGTACTGAAGATTGAAAAATGTATTATTCTCTCCCTTCAGGGAGCAATTGCATCATCCTATCGAGAGAAGAAATGAAAGTATTGAACATCTCTCTCTATCCATTGGACTGACTGGATATAATTAACCTTGAATATGAACCTACATTTGATACGCATAGCAGTCAGTTTTCTCATATTTGTAGGTAACAAGTACTGCAAGCACTAAGGCTGTTTCTTTACCGAAATCGGCATCGCCATTCATCAGTGGATAAAGCGACATTTTCGTTTGTGACTGACCAAAATGTGCTAGGCTTGGTTATGTGAGAAAGCAGTGTAAGCATGAGTAACGTGGTCAACACTGGCTGTACGTATATATGTGCATGTACATCGTGTGTCTGGCTGAGTAGTTCCATTTGAGGCAAACATCTGTTCATTGACCATCCAGTATGCACGAAGTTTAGCCTGCTTATGGACACAGTCCATGAATCGACGTGACCGAATAAGATGGATCACTGCTCCAGCCATTACTCACATACACTTCACTCCCACATTCTTCTAATTGAGTACAACTATTTGTTATCATATCACTTTGATGTATGCAGTATCTGGATTGGTCATAGATTCGTTTTGGATTGTTTATATTTCACACATTTTACATTCCCAATATGTATGTCTACTATTCTGGTTAACACATCCTAGTTAAGTAGCTCACCAGGTATCTAGCCGTCGCCAAAATATATTAAGACAAAACTTATTCCACTTTGGAATTGGAGAAGCGAAACGACATGGCGTGCTGGTGAAAGCCTTCAGGAATCTAGTCAGCCGGCCGATGTGTCTTCTCGCGATGAAAGCGAGAATAAGAATGGGGACGTAAAATGTCCGTGCAACGTACTAGACTGGGAAGGCTACCCACGTATCCAACTAAATGCGAAGATATGGCATAGAAGTACTGGTTACCTGCGAGAGTAAATTGAATGGGTATGGATTATCAGAATTGTCAACTGGAGAGTCGGTGGTCTACTCAGGTCACCCAGACGACAACCAGGAGCACACTTAGGCATTGAGTAGCTATCATGATTTCACCAGAGGCAGCCAAATACCTAATGCGGTGGGAACCAATTCCATCCAGGATCATGACAGCAAAATTCAACTCAACAAGTAGGAGGGAAGGTTACATTTGTCGAATGCTACGCACAATGCTACAAACAATGCGGAACAAGAGAAGGGCGATTTTTATTAACAACTACAAACAGTAATGGACAATATTCAGAATGATGACATCAAAATCCTTATGGGCGATATGAATTCCAGCTTAACTGGGAGCAGATAATACAGGAACAGAACTCATCATGGGTCGAGAGGCTGGTTCAAAATCAATTCAAGGTGAGGCCAAAATTCTTCAGTTCAACTGGAGATAGACCACAATCCAACTTCAACATTCAGAAACTCGAGGACAGAACTACAAGAGATACCTTCAAAACAGATCAGAGCAAAGTCGGAGACAATACGTGGCACCACTGAGGAAACCTGTGTGGAATAACATTGGAAATCTCTGAAGGCGATGTTCAAGGAAACGTGTACAACTGTTCTAGGCAGAAGGAAGAGACAAGAAAAGAAATGGCTCTCAACGGGTACCTGGAAGCTAATATAAGAGGGAGGGATGGTGAAACAGAAGGTCAACCAGTACTTAGATAGACAAGAGAAGGAGAAACTGAGTTCAATGTACAAGGCACTGAATAAAGAAGTGAAGAAGAGTGTCAAGGAACACAAAATACAACTATTCAACACCCTGCAGACTGAAACAGAACAGGCTACATGTAAAAGAGACCTGAGAACATTATACCAGATAACCAGGTCTCTCTCCGGGAAGAGATCAACCCAGATGATGAAACCTATAAAAGATGTTCGAGGGAACCTAATTACCAAGGAGGAGAGACAGAGAAAACAATAGGATGACCACTTCAAAGGACTCTTAAATCAATCACCGACTGCAACCCCTCCACAAATACCACCAACAGCACGCACACAACTGCCTGCCAGTGAACACCAATCCTCCAACGGAGGCAGAAATCTTGAATGCGATCAAGCTGCCTGGAGAGCAGCACGGCCAGATGGAACTCTCCCAGAAGCATTGAAAACAGACGCAGAGACTGCGGCAGATGTGCCCACGCCATTATTGCAAATGGTTTGGAAGGAAGGGAGGGTGCCGAACGATTGGGGGAATGGCTGACTACCTTGTCAAGCCACCAAAGAAGGGTGACTCAGGCCTTTGCAAGAACTGGCGTGGAATAATCATCTTGTCAACGCCGAGTAAAATACTAAATCGCGTCATCGTGGAGAAAATGAAAGATGCACTGGATGCAGAACTCCGCCAACCCCATCGGAACAAGCTGGATTCAGGAAAGGCAAATCATGTGTTGATCAAATTGCAACTCTAGGCATTGTCATCACAGGACAAAGCATAGAATGGCAGTCAAAACTCTCTGTACCTTAATTTCATCGACTTCGGAAAGGCCTTCGACAGACAGCGTTGACCAAGAAGTAATTTGAAAACTACTTCAACACTAGAGCATGCAGTGCACAAATCTTTCTCAACCTCATTCAACAGCTGGCTATATGACAATGCCACGAGTCAAGTGATCAACAACGGAAAACTCAGCTAGGTGTTCGAGGTGAATACAGGGGTAAGACAAGGCAGCCTGCCTATTATCACCGACGATGATATTCCTAATTGTGGTGGCCTGGATTTTGCGTCAGACTGTGGGGAGGGAGGAGACAGGAATACGTTGGACCAATAAGAAGACTGTAGGAGATCTGGATTTCGTAGGTGATTTATGTTTAATGTGACATCGACTCGAAGA